GCAGGCTCTATTACTAGTGATGGTTCTCCTTGTCCAAAATTTTGGCATTAAAAAACCTAATTCCTTCAAATTGAAGAGTACAATGATTTTTAATGCATTCGTCTTCTGCAAGGTAAATTTCAAACTATTTAGATCATTAGAATTCCAGGTTTTTTTATTGCAATTATGATATGCAATTGAAATATATCATATGATTTATTTAATTTCTGATATTTAGTGAATTTAATGCTATATGAGATTAATGTGTGGAAGGGAGTAAACCAAAATTTTATTTTCATGGGTATCGTTAGCCTACTCTTGTGCTCCAGGTATTTGAAGGCATCTTTTCTCTTTTTGGGGAAAAAAAATTATTTTCTAGCTCTAATTTATCATCTTTTCTGATTTCATGTATTGGCTCTTGATCCAAGTGACAATAATCATGTTTCTTAGGAAGTTTGGGTTGGCAACGGTTCGATTCGATCAAAACTATCACCGAATCATCAATATTTTGGCCATACCATATCTGCACCATAACCACGTAAGTTGGTTCGATTTGGCTCGATTTGTATCTCGGTTCGACTCGATTTGGGAGTTTAATAACCACGAAAATAAATTATTTTTTATAGATCCAGTTGTCAAATTGGAAAAAACAATTTATGAAAAAAAAAAATCAATGAAAACAAAAACACAATACTAAGCTAATTTAGCAAACAACATCTCAAATGAAAAGACAAACAATATCCCAATTGCAAAATCCGAATATAAAAAAACAATTTCCGTATATGTTTAATATTTGTGTAGTAGGGTGTAGGATTATTGGGTTAGGTTAGTTGGACTTAATGGGTCGAAAATGGGCTAGACGTTGGGGTAGACAGAATCATAAAAAGAATAATGAAAAGCCCAATTGTCCAATTAAATTTTTTTAACAAGTAATTGGTTCGGGGTGGGGTGACAGTGTAAATACCGTACCCGTCCTACCCCGAACCGAGGTATTAAAATCAAATACTATATCTACCCAATTGTGCCATCGGTTTTGTTTTTTAGTCCTATTCGGTTCGGTTAACTGCAATTTTTGATTTTGATAGATCGAATTACCATCCCTATTCACTTCAACTATTCGTTCAAATTAGTTAGAAGTTGTGGCTGATTCTATATATTGGTTCTTCTATCATTACCTAAGCATGTTTTTTATCCGAAAATGTAAAATTTCATAGATCAAAACTCATTTACAAGTACATCGATATACCCAGACGAACAAGGATCAAATGACAAATTAATTTACATCGAGCATACCCTAGTAAACAAAATAAAATGATGTACCAATGATAGTCTAAGGGCCTATTGTTAAAGATTGGAATTGAATCAAAACATATGAATACAAAGTAAACATTGCTTTTTATACGTGGATTTAATCCGTCTTACAATATAAACAAATTGTGGCCTAAGATTTTCAAAGATACTCCTATTCCTTACCATCCAAATGTAGTAAATGGTAGTAGCAAGAGCAATATGTTTTGTTTTACTTTGCCAACTCGTTCTCCCCATTTTTTTTTATCCACTTTAATGAACTCAACAAAATAGACATGTTGCGCCTAATAGCCAACCACCCACGATTTGATCCCAAACTGCCTTGCTAATTGGACATGAAAAGAACAAGTGTTGTACTGCTTCCTCCGTTCGTCCACAAAAAGTGCAGTTTTAGTTGAGCTATTGGTGTTGCAATCTATCCATCGTTTGTAATCTGGCCTGAACTCCTAACCAAAGGATAAAAACATGCTTTGGAGTGATGGAACTGTTCCAAACTGAAGGTGCCCAGGCTGCCTTAGTACCTTTTAGCCTGAAAAACTTGTAGGCAGCCATAATGTTGAATCTGCCAGCTTCCATCCAGCATAGTTATCTGTTCACAGCAGCCTGCACGGCACATTCCAGCCCAATAATGCAGTCTCTGATTTTCAACAATCTTTGAGCAATGGAAAGTCATCTTTTTTCACTTTATATTCCCAAATATCCATATCTCGAAGGTGTACCTGATTTATCCATTTAATCCAAAGAGTATCCTTCCTGCTATGGATGTTCCAAAGTGTTTTGGAGAGTAGTGCTACATTCCAACTTTTAATATTTCTAAAACCAAGGCCTTCTTCGTGCTTTGGTAAGCAAATTTGATTCCAAGCAACCAATGATTTTTTGGATCCCCATAAGAAGTTTCGGCATAAACTAATGATTTTAGAAGCCATCATTGCTAGAATAGGAAAGATGGATAACCAAAAACATTCCACTCCTTATAGAATGACTCACAAATTTCGCTCCCCCCCCCACATATGATAATGAAGATGACCATGCACCAATATAAGAAAAAAATTTATTGATGAAGGCATCATATGAACTTACTTTAAATTTTTCTGCAACTAGTGGAATGCCTAGGTAGCGAAACGGCATGGAACC